CAGGCAGTGCAGGGAAATAGCTATGGATGGGATATGCAGCCTAAGGGTATGTAAGTGTAGTGTCTGAGAGCACCTAAATCTAGGCTAATAAGGGGGTTAGCTGAGTGGGCAGAAGGTGACATAGATTGGAGATCATTAGAGTTACATAATTAAGAAACATGTAGAAGAATACAAAAACAAAGCTGCCAGGCTTTTGGGACTCCATCACAGTTCTTGCAGCATCCCAAACTGAAGAAAGAAGTTTAAAAATGCTAGAACTTTAAGAAGATGTGGGGCATCACTGAAGATACTGTAGCAAACATTATGAACTGTGGATAAAGTATGCTGGTTTTGGGTTGGTGGGGACACACAAACAGCTCTTTCTATATTGAGGCTGCTCCATATATGCCTTTTGCTACTACTGGTCACTTTTTTTACTCAGCCTGGAGAAGAAAAGACTGAGTAGAGACCTCATTGCTGATACAACTTCCTCCTGAGGGGAAGAAGAGGGGCAGACACTGATCTCTTGTCTGTGGTGATCAGTGATTGGACCAAAGGGAATGGGGTCAAACTGTATCAGCAGTGGTTTAGGTTGGATTTTAGATAAAGATTCTTCTCCCAGAGGGTGTTTGAGCACTGGAACAGGCTCTCCAGGCAAGTGATCACAGCACCAGCCTTGATAGTGTTCATTAAGCTTTAGGGAAATGCTCTCAGGGACATGCTATAACTCTTGGGGATTGTCTTGTGCAGGGCCAGGAGCTGGACTTCAATTATACTTACTGGTCCTTTCTAACACAAGGTATTCTATGATTCTATCCTCTTTTGCTTTTCCAGCATGGAAGGTAATATCCCCATGTAATAGTTAATAGTAGATATCCCCATGCCACTTTCCTATGATTGCCATTTTGGTAAATTTTCCACTCTTGAAAACTCAGTCAATCAAACTATTTTGCATCTCTCACATTTCCTACAGAAAATGTAATGCATTTACATTAGGACTTATTCCTGTTACTTGTTTCCTTCCCTAGCATTATACTCTGTAATTTTGGCCTAGAGCTACAGAAAAATATATGTAGCCATGTGTTTGCTTAAATTCATTGGTTTCTGCCTGATACAGTGTGAATGCTGTGAGTTATCTTGTAGATAGCCTGTCCAAATTGCTGCTTTCATTCCCCAAAATCTTAACCATAAGTTCTTAGATGCTAGACTCTCACCAGACCAATGAACCCAGGTTAGGTATCTGTGGCATGCAGTCACACTGTCAAATATCTATAACAAAGAAAGTAATGTTCAGACAACCAATTCAAGAAACTTCTGTGTTCTCAAGGAAGTGGGGAAGACTGAGTGCATTTCAAGGAGTGTGGAAGTATGGGATATTTTACAGTTGCCTTTTCAGCTTGTGATCAACTTCTTCATCTGATGCTATTGACACTGGAGACCAGAGCAATGACCTGTGTTTGCTGTCCTAGAAATATAAGCTTGTGTTCCAGCAGTCACTGGTAGGGACTGTTGCCTTTTCCTTTGCAGGGTGTCCTTATGGGTCATATGTGTCAGTCTTGCTCTTTAGGAAAAATTAGTAACTTCTACGGAATTTTGTAGATGGAATAGCTACATTTGGAATGAAAGGAAAACCTCCATAAAGAGCCAAGGGAGACATGCATACCAGTATTTTTAATGTTTTGACCTTTCAATATCATGAGACTACCATGAAGCTGAACCATTCTGAGTGGATGCCTGACATTTGTAACATTTTCCATTATGTGAATGGAGGAACAAAATGTCCTTGGGTAAATGAATCTCTGTTAAAAATAGCCACCAACAGTGGGAGATAAGTGTCTCTTGGACACCTGCTTTAAATGAATGAGCTTCAATTTCAAGTGCCCTAATCGCTAGATGAGAATCAAGGTCTTTTTTTCTGTGATTTAACATGAAGACTCCTACTTGTGTGTTCAGTGGCCCTGCTTCAAAGGAAAAGGTGATGGGCAAAGACAATCAGAATACATCACTGCCTGGTGATTAAGTCATCCTCTTCAAACGAGGTCTTTTGCAAGCAGCGGGAGAACTGGAATGCCGGCCCACGGATGACAGCTGTACGAACATGTGTTTACTGATGTATGAACATCAGTGTTTATAAAATTATGCCACATTGGAAAACAGGAGGATTAAGATGTCAGTAGAAGGACCCTACATAAATAAAACGTTAGAAAGGTTTACATAGTTTAAAGCATTTTCTTTAATTGGATGCTTAAAGTAATTTAATGTTGTTCTTTTAATATATAGGTAATATCAGTATAGATAACCATACTCATAATAGCTTTTTCAAATGCTTATTATGTTAGTCCTTGCTGAAGAAATATTTTTACAAAAAGAAAAAGTCACCAGGATGATTATCACTATGAAAACCTTGTTAGATACAGTTGGAAAATCATTCAGTGTGTTTCAGACACTTGTTTACACATTAAAATACCTTGCATTTCCTGGTGTTTGAAAAGGAATCTGCTTGTAATTCATACAAAATAGCTTTTTTAATGTTATTATAATTGCAGAAGAAATCACAGCACATGAAAAATTCAAAAGAACTCTTTAGAAAGTCAAGAACATAGGGATTCAAACTTCTTCTTGTAGTGCTTTTCTTTCTACAAGAAATAATTTTATTAGTCCTGTGAAGTAATAAACATCTTTAATAGGGGAAAAAAGGCAGGAAAACAGAAATCCCCACAAGTTCTTCCAAAAGAAAATTATTTCAATCTTTCAATGCTTAATCGCCCACTCTTGGTGTTCATCTTGCTTAGGAGTATTATATTTATGTGATTAACTAAGAGCTTAGCAGGTCTCCTATACCAGTCTCCTATACTCCTATTCATGGGGAAGCTGAAATTCATTAGAATACTATTTAGAAAATGAGGGAAAATGATTCATCTCTTCTTAACATGGCAAAGAAAATATTTTCTTATAATAGAGAATATTCATGCATATGTGTCTGCTTGTACATCTAAAATGTTCATGGGTTCAAATAAGCTTTAAATTGGGCATTTAAATGATAGAAAAGTGCTTTGGATGTTTTCAGAGGCAGCTATACAACAATAATAAGCTATCTCCATAATAATATGTGTATATTTTTTTAAAACAAAGTTAAACTTTTCAGACTGTGGAGGTCAATACATAAGAACCAGATACTCATCTGGTGTAAAAAAATGAAGGACCATTGATTTCCTCCCTCCCATACATTTCCAAAATCGTTTAGAAACTTTTATTTGTGTTGAGTTATTGAATACACTTTCCTTCAAATTCACTACAACATAAGAAAGACATTTAGCTGTTAGAGAACACCCAAAGGAGGGCACAAGGATGGTGCAGGGCCTCGAGGGGAAGCCTTGTGAGGAGCAGCAAAGGTCACTTGGTCTGCTCAGCCTGGAGAAAAGACTGAGGGGAGACCTCATTGTAGTTACAATTTGGGGCAGGCACTGATCCATTCTCTGTGCTGACCACTGACAGGACTTGAGGGAATGGCTTGAAGCTGTGTCAGGGGAGGCTTAATCTGCATATTAGAAAAAGATTCTTCACCAAAAGGGTTCCTGGGTACTAAACTGGGCTCCCCAGGGAAGTGGTCACAGAACCAGCTTGGCAGAGTTCAAGAAGATTAACCTGAAGTAATTTTCTTGACTAGGTAGGGTACTCAAAAAATGCATTTCCAATTTTAAAATACAAGTTCAAAAATACAAATTGTGTCTTAATGTGGTTATTTCAAAGTAAAATTTTGCAAAACTTTTATTTTTAAAAACTGCTAATCTTCGCAAAAATGGGTCATTACTTTGTTTCCTATAACTCTGAAGAAAAATCTGCCATTTCACCAATACATGACTGAGGAAACTAAGCCTAAAAAAATATATCAAGGAATAATGTTGCTTTTAGGTAAATTGTGAGCAGCTGATTTCCCTGAATAAATGTCAATGTTCATCATTCTGAAAATTAGTAGCTTGGAATATAGCCACTTGATCTGTGCCCTTCGAGCAATGTATTCCTTTAAAAGTGAAGAAATAAATTTTCTTGAAAGCATGGTGCTTACTCCTATGCACTGATAAAACCTAGTAATTCTCCAAATCTACTCCATCCCACTAAAAAATTCTCAGACCTTCAAAGAGACAAGTTTTGTGTGGTTTTTTGCTTTTTATTTCTCTTCACCTGAACACACAAATTGCATCTATACAAGAAAGCTTTAATTTGTAAGGAAACTTCTGACACACAAACTGGTTTCTTTTCTCTGAAAAAATTAAATCAAGAAGAAAGAGTATTATCAATTAAATTTTTGTCTCTACATATGAAATGTCCCTGGTACATGACATTGTGAGTTGAAATAACAGCAAATGTAAAATTCTGTAGTGCTTTGGAACTGATAAAAGTCTTATTCAAAGGTATGATGTTTTTGTGAAGTTTAGAGAATTTTAAACAAACATGAAGCTTTTTGCTAATTTGTTCCTTCAGAAATCTTGCCCTGTTTAGATAAATACAATATTTTTTTTCATCATCATCATCATCCTAATTCTTATATTTTAGAAAACAAAAGATAGTTTGTAAAGTAAAGTAAAGATGGAAAGAAAATAGTTTCTGGAATAGTATTCTCTTTGTCCTGAGTTATTAAAAGGAAAAAAAAATTGTGCATTTCATATGGTATTTTTTACCTAAACCTTTAAATTTTATTAATAAATAAATTATTGTTCATTTTGATGATTGTAGAATGTGATTAAACTCTTCAAATTAAAAACAAAGGTGTCACTACACAACAAGCAAGTTATATAAACCTCTCCTTGCTGATCTCAGAGCTTGCATGTATTTTTCCCATACATGTCAGAATTCTTGTCAGAATGGTTTTGGATGCTTTGATTCCATTAGCAACAATGAGCTTTTTGAACTACATTGACTACGCTTCATTGGTACAAGACAAGTATTGGCACAAACTGCAGCTCAATGCACATGAGCTGAAGTGCCAAGTGGAAGCAAAGAGCAGTCATGGAGCAGGCACATATCTTGTGTTAATATTTATTGATACATCTATCCCATTCTTCAACAGCATCCAACAGGCATAAAGATGGAAGATTCTGAAACAGAGATGGACTCAGTGAGTAGACTAGGGCACTCCAGGCAAGGTCAGTGCAAAGGGAAGCAGCTAAGGGATGCAGAAACTGATAAAGTGATTTTTGGGCTCTCCTTCCCAAAGGGTGCTGCTGCTGCTGCTCACACAAGTAGCTAAGAGACATGTTTATTCCTAGAAGCTCTAGCAGTTTCTAACAGCCCCTGGAAGCTAATCCTACTGAAAAGGTGCTTACATCTGCTATCTTCAGCCATATTTAAATCCTTAATTTAGAGTTGGGAATTGTCAAGTAGCTCTTCAGCTGACACCAGGGAAAGCATAGCCAGCTGGGAGCACAGCAAACAGAGGCAGCAATTTGTGCAGCAGTTGAGATGGAAGGTTTCCAAAAACTCTCTTGAATATGGGAAGGCTCAATGCTGGCTGTGATGTGCCACAGGGCATGGATCCCAGCAGCAGCGGAAGCAGCTACCCCAGCACATCAGACACCTCTTGAACTCTCATTAACTTCTGCAAGGAGGACACAGCCATCCAGCACAGAGCGTGGAGTGTTTGGTGCCTTTCTATGAGCCTTGGGCAGGCAGAGGTGGTGGCATTGCCTAAGGGATGTTTGAACAGGCTGGGAGGTCAGTAAGCTAAGCACTGCAGGAGGAGTCTGCGCAAGTTGATTTTTAATATGTGGCAGATAAAGGTAATCAAATTTTATATCAGGCTTAATTCTACATTATTTCAAGGGAAGGTGGAATAAAAGCAAAGGAATAATCAAGATTTCCATTGGTCAGATTTTTGTATTTTTTTAGTCAGTAGGATGTTTAATCCAAATATCAAAGTGTGGCTGAAATTACTTTTCTTTGTGTTTGTTTTCAATTTCATTGGACATAACTATCGGAATATTCCAAAACTGTAAATCAGTTCATGAAACCTTATCTTTGTCTTTGTTGTATACCAATGAGTTATGGAAAAAAAAAAAAAATCATCTGCCAAAAACAAAAAAAAAAAAAAAAAAAAAACCAAAACAACAAAAACACAAAAACCCAAACAAACCCCAAACCAAACAACAAATAAAAAATCCAAAAACCCCAAAAAGCAAAAACAAAAAACCCAAACACAAAAACAAAAAAATCCCCAAAACCAAACAAACAAAAAGCCCCAAACCAACACTGAAACACTTCTTCCAGTTTTACTAGAAATAAAAACACTTCAGCTGTGACACTTGGTATCTGTATTTTTGTGTGTAGAACCTCTTCTGGGATATACACTTACCTGAAAATTTCCTTTCACCTGTTTCATTTCTCATCTGAAGAAAAAAAAAAAAAGAGTAAAAATAAAAGAAGAAAAAAAATTTTGCCCCCTTACATGAAATCAAAATTTCACTATCTGTACTAACAGAACATATGAAACAGCATCTGCTAAAATTAACTAAGCATAGATAGAGAAATTGACAGATCTAGGCAACTCATGCCCAAAACTCTCAAGGGAAGTAGCAAATTACTGTGATAGTAACACAATTGGTTTTACCATCTGAACTATAAATTTCTTATGATGATCTGAATAGCTGAATTATCTCCAAACCACTAATTTTATTTTTTAATAACCCAGAAGGAAACTGGAGACTTTTTAAAGCCTCAAAGGACTAAAAACAGTAGCAATATTTCAATTACAATGCAGAAAAGGCCCGGGGAACCATAGGCTGTTTAGGCAGATGTTTATCTTTGATAAAATAACTGATTTGTAGCTATCAAAGAATCAGAAATAAAGTTCAAGCAAAAAATCAATAAAAATATTTTAACCCCCTGTTTTCTGGGAGGGACTGCCCAGATTTGATACTAGCAGACTTCTTCTACCCTTGGATTATATAATTTTATGGGTTTTTTTTATCCCTGCTCCACAAGGCTGTGTGCACTTCATAATTTGTCATAATCACAACATATATGATTGGGGACCAAAGGGATTATAACATTTGGCACAATCTCTTAGACCCAGGAAAAGTGGGTCTAAGATGAAAATGATTTTTCATTTTTATATTTTTCCCAGTACAAAACATGCATTATCTAATGTAAGGGGAAGGGAAAAAAAAAAAAAGCAAAATAAAAAAATGCTCAGTTCATTTAATGAATTCCTTGAGAATTTGTTGTCTTGGAAAAACACTGCAATACAGAAAAGAGATAAAAAAATCTCAACAGTCAGCTGTTAAAAAAATATGTTTTTAGTGCTAAATAAAGGAAGGCCAGGTACGTCTCTGGCCTCACATCTCATCTCCATGGAGGATCAATTCACAGTGTAGACTTGCTTACTTTTCAAAAGTTGAATTTAGCTTGCTGCTGGGCCATATGTTGTGAATTAATTATTTCTGTGATTTCTCTTTTTTTTTTTTTTTGGACCAGATTCTGATGTAAAAGAGGATTCCATTGCTTGATTATCAGAGAGCTTTTTTTATATGTAACTGAACACATGGTATGCATGCTGCTTTCATTGTATGATGACCTGTAAAAGTTTCTGAATATGCAAGCCTTCTCAACAAATACCAAACCTGCCATCCTTAGGATCCAAAAGAGCACTGGAAGGAAGTAATTGTGCAACAGTTTTAACTTGGTTATTAACATGACTTTTTTTCATTAGATTATTTAAATATCAGGATTAAAATTGTTTCTTAGCTTCATATATATGCTGTGCATTTTTTGGTTAAAATAAAATTTAGAATGCAAAAAATGCCTTGTTTGCCATCCTAAAGCTTCACCTTTCTATTCTACAGTTATAATATAGGGACATACATAGCTGATTCCACACAAGACAACTGCATGTTACCAGGAGGTTCAAGTAAAAAAAAAAATATATATATATATATAAAATTGAAAGATATGAAAGATATTCCACTGCAAAATGCTGCTATGCTGTAGATAAAACCACTCAGGCAACAGTCTCATTGTTAGAGAAGTGCTTTTTCTGAAAGTCAGATGAGCACAAAGGGTTGGGCCAGGCTGGCCTAGACACATCTATGCAGAACAAGGCCAACAATCTCTGTCCTGGGACCTCCACAGTCAGTCAGAAGCCTGTGGCCTGTCGCAAGCAATGGCAATACCAGGATACAAAGCCACAAGTGCAGAATTCTTTCAAAGTCTTCAAAAGCAAGTGTAGTTCTCCAAATGAAACCATAAATGCAGCGAATAAAAACATTCTTGTTTACTCACCCCACGTGGTTTCCCATGTAGTTTTTCTATGAATAACAGTACTACTATAGATTTTAGACCCCTTTTGTCATTATCTTTTACTTCCAGGTAGTTTATATGTACTTTTCATCAAATCAGTTTATCTATATCTCAACTTTCTGTAGTTATCTATTCTCACCAAAATAGAAAAGGCATAGTTGACTTAACTGAATATTCATTTTAGCATTTTTCAATATTTTTTTCTAATTTTTCAAAATAATTCTGAATTCCAATTCCAATTTCTCTTATTTCCTTCATATGGCATACAGCTCGTTTCTGAAGACTGAAATGCAGACATTTTATTCATTAAAAAATTATGTGAATAAAGTGAAATGACCTGTGTCATACTGGAGGTCAGATCAGATGATTTAAAAGCCCTTCAGGCTTTAAAACCAAGGAAATCTCTATAAAATATATGAAGTTTCAAAGATATTTCACCATGCTAAATGATTGCCAGAGCAGCTTGCATGAAGAAAATAAGCAAATAGTGCTTGCTTAAAACTTGAAATCTAAATTTCCTTATCTATCACCGGATGTTTGGGCTTAGTTGTACTTACACAAAGATATATATCTAACAGTTTATGCTATGTCTTATCTTACAATTACAATACTTTTGAGGTTAATAAATTCTCTCCTGAAGTTATTATAGATCTGCAGGCTGTTATTCAACACCTAGTCCGGCCCCCAAGAGTGAATTTTCTAATAGCGTGTTAAAATGGGAAATGATATATTGAAATTCTTGTCTTATAAGGCATTGCTACATAAGTAAATTTCAAGTTAATATGATTAACAGCTGTAATATATGTGATAACTGCAATAAAGAAGTCTTGCTGACAAACAGAAGATATTAGTGTGAGATATTAGAGAATTCTCCCTATGCTGCCTAATACTAGAACCGTATACGTATAAAATGCCTCTGCATTTGACTCAAGAGTTGGGGAAAAAAAAAACAACCAAACCACACAGGTCAATGGATCTCCTCTGCTATATTCCTACACCTGCCATCCAGGTAATCTTGACCTCAATTTTTTCCTGTGTTTGACATAATGAAGAATTAATTGAAATCGCGACCACAGACCATAAAAATGATGTAGATGGGAAAAGGTTACAGCCTAGAATACCAAATACAAGGTCCTTCTACAAAATCATGTAGACTGAACACTCATAAAAGTAGCTTAAAAATTAATGTGAGAAATCAAAAAGGTGCAGAGACAATTCACAGTGAAGAAGCCAAACAATGACTTAAAAGTATAGATATAAAGCATATACTAAAAAGAAATCTTTTAGAATCTAATTTTACATTTAGCTAAAAAAAATAAAGACGTGCTCAAATCACTTTAATTATGAGGAAGAGGTTAAAATTAGAGGAAACCTTGAAAAAAAGCATTGGGAAATACTACTGAAAAAAAGAAAATGTCTCTAAGAGAGACAGTTTCTTGGTTTGCTTTTTTTTTTTTTTTGCTTTCTCTCCTTCTACCTTTCTTTTAAAACATATTTTTAGGAAAAAATCATAGAATTGTTGGAAGGGACCATGAATGACCATCTGGTCCATCCCATTTCTTTGAAAAGGGAACCTAGACAAGATTATCTAGCGCTCTGTTTTGAAAACCTCTACCTAATCACTGAGGAGGTTGTTTTCAGTAAAAAAAAATTTCTTTCTTACATCAAGATGAAATGTCTCCCTGTGCAACTCCTATCCACTTCTATTTGCCTTCTCCATGCTGCTTCTTGTGAAGAGAGAACCTTCATGCTCTGTATAGCCACCCTATTTAAAATTCTCTTGGATTTTTCAAAAAGAGAATGACTACTTAAGCCAGCAGTTTGAGGCTACAAAGCATTTTACAGAAATTTTCCTCTGTGCCTTTTCTGCAATTTTTTCTTAATTGATTAGGACAAATAATTTATGAAATATGTCATGTATGGATGTGGTCATCTAATAGTTTTGTTTAGAAGGGACCTTAAAGATCATCTCTTTGCAACCCCCACTGCTGCAGGCAGGGAACTTTTCATTAGACCAGTACATCAGAGCCCCATCCAACCTGGTTTTGAACATCTCCAGGGATGAGGAGTCCACAACTTCTCTGAATAACCTGTTTCAGCGTCTCACCACCCTTGTAGTAAAGACCTTCTTCCTAATATCTTATCTAAACCTATTCCCATCCAGTTTAAGGCCATTCCTCCTTGTCCTGTCACTACATGCCTTTGTTAAAAGTCCCTCTACAGCCCTCTAGTAAGACCCATTTAAGCACTGTAAGGCTTCTGTAAGGTCCCTCTTACAGTACAGTACTTGACACAAGGGGTTTAGATGATATATAAACCAACCGAATTAATACCAAGATGCTAAGGTAGACTAAGAAGAACATAAATACTATGAGAATTTAACTATTTTCATGGCATGTTTTCAGCTTGAGGCAGTATCAGCTATGAGTTACCTGAAATAAAATTTACTTAATTTAGTTTCACATACTCATGAGCAAAGACAAGAAAGTCTCAAAAGTGCTTCAGTGAATGTGGTCATAGCCATGTCTTCTCTGCTGCCAAAAGCTAGATGTGGCTGCCACTACTTTTTACATCAATACAGCAAAAGTAACTCCAGGAGATGTTTTGCTCCCTGTAAGAATTATGTGCAAGGCATGTTGAGATGATAGGATGTAAACTAAATTATAATTTATCTTGTTTTATGTGTTCAAAAATATAAGAAAGCCAAATGAGCTAAATGCTGAACTAATTTACAATTACCTCTCAGTGGGTACTGAATCTGGTCCATAGTGCATAAAAACTGGATAAAATGAGAGAACACAAATTAATAAATACTGCACTGCTTAAAGCATCAGAAAATAGTCCTTCCTAAAGACTAATTACAAATTAAAAGATGCCTATCAAATTAATCATGCTTCAGGCAAGCAGAAATGGAATAGATTATAAATAAAAGAATTAATACTACATCTTCTACTCACTTTTCCATTTTAAAGCACTAATTACAAATTATTCTGAAGATATGACAGCAAATCCTTTCCTGTTTTATTATCCCTCTGCACCAGGGAGCAGATAGAGCAAAACAGCACTTGCCCACAGAGCAGAAAATGTTTCTCTTGAATTGTCTCATGTAGCATTAATTTAGTAACATATCCAAATTTGTTTTGGATTATATTTGATGGAGTTTGGAGTTGCCTGGAGTTTATTTCTAAAACTATGCAAAAACAGAGCTGAACTCAACTGCTATTGCCTTATCTCAGGAACTCCTGTGCTAGGTAAGCCTCTTCCAAAGAAATTGTCTTCTACAGCATGCTAACCCCTTTGTAAAAAAAAAAAAGCTCCTTTGAAAATTGTTAAGGAAATACTTTACCAGTAATTTTTTCCTAGTATCTAATATTTTGGTGGAAAATAGTCATTTTTTCTAAATAAACAGGAAGTTTTCTATCTTAATCTTTTTAATAATCTATATTTTGAAGATTGAGATTTCTCTATTCCTCTCAAGGTTAAAAAAATACAAATTTTTTCAGTCTTTGGTAATTCTGATGGTTATCTGGGATCCTGTATTTGATCCACAACAATAATGAAATGTAAAGCTGAAAACAGAAAGCCATATTCCTCCCATAGCCTTACCAAAGCTGAGCAAGTGGATGGATATTGTGTTTGGTCTTTGTATTGCAGCATGATATTTCTTTCTTTCTTTCTTTTTAAATTGTATCATAAATCCTTAATTAGCATTTTCTAAAGAATGTTTTAAAATAGCAGTTATTCCTTACCTTATATTTGTAAAAATTCTTACTGTCATAAAAATTACATAGTTTAATCTTCTAAAATTTATATTGGCTGTTACCTTTCTCTTTAATAATTTTAACTCCCTGAGTGCTTAAAAATAACAGTGGCTTTAAAAGTCACCTAAATATGTAGATGGGGCAGAATCCAGCAGAGAACCATGAAATACATGAAACTCACTGCCACTTAAAACTCATCTTCCTTACTTCCTTGCATCTTCCTTCCCCATTTTTCCCAAGTGTAAAATTCCTCTCACCAGGTTGACCAGCCTTTTGGCAAAAATGCCTTTGTGCCAGTGCATCAGGTGAATTACGCTTTTTATCCTAGATGCACTCAATTTTCAGAAGGGGTTACATTTTCATAAATTTCAAATTCCCACTGTCAAAATAAGCTTGTAATCAGGTTTTCCTCACAGGATGTAACTATGCCTCCTCACGCCCCTCCTCTTACTAGCAGGATCAAAGAGAAAACCATGGGACCCCATGCAATCAAATCTCACTCCTAGAACCAGCTAGGTTTGCTGGACATTTTCAGAAATTCTCTTTAAAAAATCTACCTATGTTTTTAAAAATTCACCTCTGTTTCAAAAATTTTCTGCTGATTGAGTTGGCCATATTAAAACTGCCCTGAAAGACACACAAAATCTCAATTTACCACAGGCTGTCCAAGACATCACTTTAGAGAAAGGAGGCAGAAATTAATAAATAGAAGAATTATTTGACAGATAGTAAAACCAACAGCAGCAGCAGGTTTCACATTAAGAATTAACTTAGAAATATTTTCAACGTTCAGTTTCTGCAAAGAGCATGTCATTCTAGCTAGAGCAGTACAAATGAAAAAGCTTTCCTTGGCACAAAAGGAGCAATACCTGGGTAGATTCATTTTCATATTCTGCATGCTGCAATATCTGCAAGAACAAGACAGTGAGATATTATTTTAGGCAGCAAATGAGATCCATCCCTCTGTAACCCCTTGTTAAAATCAGATCTTTTTTTTTTTTTTTTTTTTTTTTTT